GCCTGCTGTAACACCTAGGAGGATTACATGGGCATCTTGAAAACTGCTCTGGGTGGTAATTCCTGGTAATCTGCATTTTAATTCATGTACCCCACCCCCGCACCCCAGTCTTTCCTAATGATTAAGCCTTTTATTCTCCAACATCATTTTTATAAAGATGGTGATTGCCTGACCACATATGTCCCATTGTCATTACAGGCCATCGAGGAAACGCAGGTCTCTTGGCCACCTCAGCAATGTGACAGTGGCCATGCCCACAGTACCAGTTTTCCCCAATATCTCCTCAACCAGCGTGCCCACGAGCCTGGAGGAACACAGGCCCTTCGAGAAAGTGCTGAACAAGGAGTCGCTGGTCATCTCCGGCCTTCGCCACTTCACCGGCTATCGTATTGAGCTGCAGGCTTGCAACCAAGATACCCCCGAGGAGCGGTGCAGCGTGGCTGCCTACGTCAGCGCCAGGACCATGCCCGAAGGTGGGGCTGGTCCCCGGGGGTGGGCACTTAACAGGGCAGGAGACCTAGGCTGACCACGGACAAGCCCTTCACCCTCTAGTTAGCATCTATGTGTACTTTAACTGATTTGCTTTATTACTTTAAAATTGCAAGTCATACATGGCTATTATGTAAATTTCAGAAAATACACACAAGCAATAAGAGAAACATAGCAAAACTAAGAAATGCATATCTAGCGTGTTACAGTTCTTCAGAGAAACAGAACCAGCAAGATGAATGTGTCTGTATATGTCTGCACAGTCGGCCCTCTGTATCTGTGGGTTCTGCAGTAGCAGATTGAAAATACTCAGGAAAAAACAAATAATAAAAAAACCAATAAAAAACAAATATTTTTTAAAAACCACCCTCATAAAACCAACAATTCAACAGCAAAAAAAAATACAAATAACTATTATGTATAATAATATATACTACCCTTACTCACCCGAGTGATAAAATTCCTTTACCAAGAATTGAAGCTTCATCGTTCATATCACGCAAGTGCCACAAGAAGGAGATACATAATGTATATTATAGTATAACAAATGTATAACGTATAATGTATAATACAGTATAGCAACTATTTACATAGCATTTACATTGAATTAGGTATTATAAGTAATCTAGAGATGATTTAGTGTAGGGGAAGATGTGCATAGGTCATATGTGAATATTATGCCATTTTATATAAAGGACTTGGACATCCGAGGATTTTGGCATCTGTGAGGGTCCTGGAACCAATCCCCCATGGATATCAAAGTATGACTGCAGATACAGACAGACAAGGAGAGAGAGAAAGGGAAGGGGATTTATTTCAAGGAATTGGCTCACGAGATCATGGGATCTTGGTAAATCCAAAATCTGCAGGATAGGCTGGCAGGCTGGAGATGCAGTGAAGAGTTGCAGTTAAGTCCAATGACCGTCTGCTGCAGAATTCCTTCTTGCTTGGGAGGCTTCAGTGACCGGATGAGGCCACCTATATATGGAAGGTCGTCAGCTTTACTCAGTCCACTGATTTAAATGTCAATCTCATCCAAAAAAGAGCTTTACAGAAACATCCAGAATAATGTTTGACTGAATATCTGGACACCACGGTGCAGCCAAGTTGACATAAAATTGAACATCTCACACAGTAAGAAAAATAAAATGTAGTCACCCCTGAACACCTGAGATGAGCCCTGGTTAGCCTTCGTTTGTATATTAACATTTTTTTTTTTTTGGTAAAAGTGCTTATGCTTGCATACTTAGACACACACATGTTTACTCAAATGGATTCACAGTATACAAACAATTTTTTCCCTTATTTTCAGTTTTATAAAATTGTGGCAAAATACACATGAAAATGTAGAATACACGTGAAAATACACATGAGAATCACAAGTAATGTGAAATTTACCATCTTAGCCATTTTTAAGTTCAGAGGGATTAAGCACATGCACGTGGCTGTGCAGCCATCACCACCGTCATCTCCAGAACTTTCTCATCTTCCCAAACTGAAGCCCTGTCCCCATTAAACTCTCACTCCCCGTCCACCTCCCAGCCCCTGGCACCCCCCATTCTACTTTCTGTCTCTGTGGATCTGACGACTCTAGGGACCTCATATAAGTGGAATCACACAGTATTTGTCTTTTTGTGACTGGCTTATTTCACTGAGCATAATGTCCTCAAGGTTCATCCATGTTGTAGTGTGTGTCAGGATTTTCTTCCTTTTTTAAGGCTGTGTGATATTTCTACAGACAATTTTTTTAAACTTATTTTTTTGGGGGGAGGCACATACAAATATGTCATATTAATGGTTGTATAATATTCCATTTTGTGGGCATGCTATCATTTTTAGTTTAAAAGCCCTTTTACAATGTTGAAATATTCAATTTAAAAAATAACACTAGGATGGCAAGCTTTATACACTTGTCCAATTATTTCCACTAGATCTATTTGTACAATTGGAGTTGCTTACTCAAAGAATATGCAGTGAATATTATGGTCTGCTTTTATCATATGATCATCCAGCAACATAATATTCATTTATCTGGCCCAGCTGGTTTCTTTTTTGAAATCAAATTTCTACATATACCGAGTTCCATTCCTGGGCTCATGCTTTCTTGCCTTAAATGATCTGTTCATTATTTTTGTACCTTGGTACCATGCTGTTTGAATTACTGCAGTTTTTCAAACAGATTTTATTGAAGCGTAATTTACATATGCAGGTGGCCCCCGACTTACGATGGTGTGATTTATGATTTTTTGACTTCATGATGGGTTTATCGGGACGTAACCCCATTGTCAGTTGAGGAGCATCTATAATGAAATGCACAGATTTGATGCATGTAAGAAATTCCATAGGTAACATTTATTTCCTGATTTCAAATAAAGAAATGCAGAGATGGAGAGGTAGGTCTGAAAATTTATATCAACCCTACATTTGTGTGTGTTTTCCTCCAACAAAAATAAAAATAGCCATTATTTACTCACATATCATCCATGTTTGAGACGCTTTCTACGTAATAGCTCATTTAAACCCAAATAAGTCTAATTCATAGTAGGGTGCCAATGTCAGTTTCCTTGTTTTAGTAATGTACTAAGCTTATGTGGGGGTCGGAAGTTGGTTGAAATGTCTGTGGAAACTCTGTGTAATTTTTGCAACTTCTTGTGAGTCTGAGATGACTTCAACACAGAAGGTGTATGAGGAAAATAACCCATTTAATCTTCCTAACAATCCCATGAGGTGAGTTTCATGTGTTCCTTCTCCAATGAGGAAAATGGGATGTGGGAATATTATGTAACCAGCTCAAGGTCGCTCAGCTGGTAGGTGGCGGTGGTGGGGTTTGATCCGAGAGTTACGCCCCTGCCTCTAACTGCCGCTCCTTACAGCCAAAGCTGATGATATTGTTGGTCCCGTGACCCATGAAATCTTCGAGAACAACATCGTTCACTTGATGTGGCAGGAGCCAAAGGAACCCAACGGTCTGATTGTCCTGTACGAAGTGAGTTATCGGCGATATGGCGAAGAGGTAAGACCCTTGACACTTGGGCACGTGCCATCAAAGTTGTCCTTGGGGCCTCCTTCCTCTGCTTAAATGCTGGCCCAGACACTCCTCGCATCTAATGATGTGCTGTTAGGACTCAGGGCCTTGACACATGGCTTTCCAGGAAGATGGGACAGAAATGCTAACCTGTAGACTTCTATTTCTTTCTTCAGTTTCTCACGTTGCTTTTCAGCAAGATCCTCTAAGTCGGATGATGGCTGCCCGCGTTTGTGTTTCTCCCTCCGTGACCAGACACTCATTTTACTTTAAAGAGATTTATTTGAGTCTGGGAATGAATCATTTAAAATCTTAATAAGTCCTTTTTGTTGGGTGCCTCCGTTCAGTACCTGATGCGGTGCAAGTTGATGGGCGAACGTAGAGATGCATGAGACGAAATCCAAGATGGAGATTGAAAACAGCATCTAAATTATCTCAAAGGCTCACCGTGTGCCCCATGCATATTAAATGCTATGTGTGCTGTACCTCATTTATCATATTTTATCACCTTTAAGACGTTAGAAGAGGCCTCATTATTTTTACAGACTGCTAAGAAAGAAAAGGGTGCTGGCGGTTCTGATTATAAGAAGTCGTCGCTTGTAAGGTGCATTCCAATTACAGTGATGCCAACAAGTGAAAATAATATACCTCTTGGGACAGAGGATGTAAAATCAATCCTCAGAGTATCCCAGTGATCTGGGTGCCAGAGCTTCCAGAGTTTAGGTTACTGTGCAAGGTCTACAAGAATAGAGTCGAGATTTAAATCCAAGACTAATATTCTAATCCTGGGGTCAGCACATTTTTTTCTGTAAAGGACTAGATGGTAAATATGTTTGGCTTTGAGGCCAGACGGTCCCTGTTGCAACCATCAACTCTGCTGTTGTAGAGTAAAAGCAGCCACAGATGATATGTAGACAAATGGATGTGGTTGTGTGCCAATAAAACTTTATTTACATAAACAAGTGGTGTGCCAGGTTTAGCCTGTGGGCTAGAGTTTGCCAACACCTAACAGGGGTTATAGCAAAACTATACAATTTCCTGGAGCTTTGGGAGAGAGTCCTCCTATAATCAAGTGGACCTCCCTCCATCGATCTCTCTTGGGACCATGTCACTCTTGGCATCCAAATATTCAGCCTTGACAATGATTCAGAGCTGGGATCAGCACATGACGGCCTCTGGGCCAAATATGGTTCACAGCCTGTTTTTATAAAGCCTGCAGAGAGT